ACCTGGGGGTGAGGAGAGACTTGCCAGGTAGACAAGCAGAGGAACAGCAGGTATAAAGGCATGTGAGCTTTGGAACCGCAAGTAGCTCATTGTTGCTACAATAGAGAGTGTGAAGTGGGATGAGGTTGGACCAGTGGGCATAGACCAGATCTTCCAAGTCCTGGCATGCCATGCTCAGAAGCTTAAATGTGTGATCATGCTGAGATTTTTTTAACAGACTATGATCCAGTTTGCATTTTTAAAGATGACTGGCTGCAAGGGGGACAACTGAGGCAGGGAACTCAGAGAGGAAGTACTAAGTCTGAACTAAAAGCCCGCGGCAGTGAAGATGGAGAAAATATAGGTAGGAGTTAGTTAATAGGGCTTGGTGATTAACTGGCAGTGAGGAGGGATAAAGAGCCCTCCTGGATACCTGATCTGGGCCACTAAGTGGATAATGGGGCCATTCACTGTCACCGGGAACACTGGGAAACAGGTTAATGAAAAATATAAACTCAATATGGTAAATGGTGAGTTTGTGCTGCGTGCGGAACATCCAGGCATCAGCTGCTTTCTGCAGTCTGTTGCTCAGAGCGGTCTGGGCGAGCGACAGATTTGGGAGTTGGCAGTGTAGAGTCTTAAAGTCATGGGAGTGACCGAGATCATCTAGGGAAGTAGCAAGAGAAGGGAAGGGCCCAGAGCAAGTGGCCACCTATGGTCCCAGCTCTCGAAATACTCTCCCTCCGGAGATGGAGGAGCCAAACCCTGCAGAAAGGCTTATAACAAAAGGTAGACTGAGCTCTGTACTTTAGTGAGGGATGGTCAGAGAGTTCTGGGCTCCTGAATGGGGAGAGGGGCTTGGCTAACTCTGTAACGAGACCAAGCTTGCTTTTGGTAATTCAGGTGCGAGAAAGGGCGACCTGAGCTGCAGTTGTGAGATAGAACCACCAGGTGGCGCCTCAGCATTTCCTTGTGCCAGATGCTCCCCCACTCGGCAAACACCCAGCCAGGCCCAGAGCAGATTGCCAAAGGCAGGGAGGAGGATGGCTGTGTCAATAAAGGAGGCAGGCCTGAGTTTTTTCTTAACATCGAATCCAAATGCAAGCTTGCTTTTTGAAAAGAGAGGGAAAGATTTGAGACCGGGAGAAGAGCAATAGGCAAAGACTGCCAAATGGAAATCTAGGATGTCTGAACATGAGGACCTATGGGTCAATACATGTCCTGTGTTCCCATGTGTATGTATGTTTCCCAAGAGTGTCTCTAGGTATGTTGTATGCCCCACGTGCCCAGGAGAGTCTGCATGTGTAACCCCATGCACATCCCAGGCCTCCACGTGTGCACTCCTCTCCCAGAAAGAGCGCAAGCAGCAATGCCCACATCCATGCCTCAGAAAGCGAGGAGTCCCTTGGCCCTGAAAGAGAAGAGCAACAGAGTCTGTGGCCATAAGACCCTGTAGGTTTTAGAAGCCCCCAAAGCAGTCGCGGGTCACGAACACCCATCTCCTCAGTAGCCATAAGGAAAATCATTTATCAGATAATCTCCTCAGAGTATACGTGGTTTCTCTGTCTACCTACCTGGGGTCATGCTCACATGGAAGCTTCCCAAAAAGACCCCTCAGTCAGCTGAGGAATTCACAAACTCATGCATTCATCATTTTTTTAATAAGTTTCCACTGAGCAACTGCTATGCTCCCAAGCCAGTGCAGGACACACTCTCTGTCTCTCCTTGCATCTTCTTACGGAATACTTCGTGAGGCAGAAAGGAAAAACCGGTTGCAGCTGGAATGCTGGTTAGGGTGCTGACACTTTTTTTCCCAAGATGGGCCATGAGGAGCCTCAGGAGAGTTTTCAGCAGGAAGGTTACATGGTTCCCTCCCTCTTACCGCTAAGTAGAATGGGAAGTGCGTCATCAGGGTACTGAACAAAGGCAGGAGACCAGCTAGGGGGTTGTTGTCATGGTCTAGACATTAGTTCTCAAACCTTAGTGAGCTTCTGAGTCATCTGATGAGTATTGAAACAAACTTCCAGTCCCCACATTCAGCGTCCTCCGGCGTGAGGTCCAAGGAGTAGCACTTGTAACAAGGTTGCGGAGTCTGTAGGTGATACTGGCCCAGGAAACACACTTCGAAAACCACTGGTCTATGAGAAAGACTATGGGACCCTAAAGGGCTGGCAGGGGGCGGGGAGAGATGTGTAAGGGTTAGAAATGACAACACTCCATGACGACTGGTTTACGAAGGTGAAGGGAAGGCCAGAGTCTGGGATGACTCTGTTTTCCATTTGAGGGATGGGGGTGCCATGTACAGAGCCCAGAGAAGAAGCAGATTGAGGTGGGTGGTGGGGGTGGAGGGGATGTCAAGTTCACTTGTGGACTTGGAAAGTTTCAGATGGCTGCAACGAGATGCCTGAAGGAAATACCCACCCTGGCAATTGCATCTGTGGGTCTGAATATTTAGGGAAGGACACAGACTGGATAGAACAAAGTTGAGAGATAACAGCTGACTAGCAGTCACTAAAGTCATAAGGAATGAACTCGTGAAGAGTGCAGACAGGAAGAAAAGGCTGAAGCTTCAACCCTGAGGAAGAATAACCAACATGAAGGATGTGGCTGAACAATGAGCTAGAAAAGTAAGCTGAGGGAGAGTCAGGGTAGAAAGGAGGAGAACCAGGCAAGAAGGGAGTGTCTCAAGCTGCAGCAGGGTAGAGTGAGAAAATCCACAAAAGTCACTGGACAGGCAGCCTGTCCTGTCATTCTGGCCTTCCCCAGCCAGAATTCTGCTGGAGAGAGAAAGGGATCCCCAGAGCTGGGCACGGGCAGCGCTGGCCTTGCCACTCCTGGACTTCCCCCAAAGGGTCCACCAACCTGCGTGCCATGTACTAACCCACATACACCTGTCCTAGAGCCTCACTTCTGAATTTGAGGATGGAGGAGAAGGGGTCCTGTCACTCACACATCTGCATATCCAGACACACGCAAACACACTCCAGACCTCTGGTCTGTCCTGGGCACGGAGGCGGCAGCTCTGCCCAGCTCTGCTTCTTTCCCCACCCTAGCTGGTGGTTCCAGCCTCCAGAAAGTTCTTAGTGATGTTGCTGCTTCCAGCCTCCTCCCTTCCCCATGGTCCCCCAGACTGAAATGACTCAGACCTGAGCTCTGCCCCTGCCTCTGGGATACCCCACTCAAGTCCCCTCCACATACATTCCACGGGTCAATCCCCCTCTCTTCTTAACCTACCTCTGCATCTCCACCTTTCTTTTCTCATCATCCGCTTCACGAGAAAGGGGCCTCAGAAAACATCCAGTCCTCTCTGAGCCACCCTGCTTTGTTGCCACTGTTGTTGAAGTTGCAGGAACTGAGGTCAGGGGTGAGGAGGGACTCGCCCAGGGGCACAGGTTGGTCAGAGTGAGAACTACATCTGTAGGCACCTGAGGGGTAGGCAGTACAGCACAGAGAGAGGCTGGAGGCAGACCACCCTGGCTCTGCCACTTCTCTGGCTGCTGGCTGCTCCCTGATGACGTTGGCCAAATCCATTCACCTACCTCCCTGTGCCACATCTTCCTCACCAGAGAGCATGACGGTGAAGCAACCCAGTACTCACCAGGTACTTAACACAGAACACCGCACACTCTGTAATGAGTACTTGCTATGATTATTTCAGAATTCTATGTTTTTTTATCTGAGCATCTTCTTGCCTTTTTTTTTTAAACATATTCCTTCTGCTTTTTAAATTCCTATTCTTCTTAGTATTCCTCTCATTCCCTTTCTTTAATCCTTGATCCTGCTTCTGGGGCGGGGGGCAGAAGAGGAGAGGGTTGGGTTTTGGGAGAAAGGTGAAGTGACTGAAGGGACGGGAATGTCCTTGGGAGACAGCCAAGCCTGCCATGGTAACCCACAAACACACAGCCTGCACATGTCAGGGTGCCAACTGCACACCATCCACATGGGGCACTTACACATATCTTCACCCAACAGTCTCTCTCGTGTGTGTGTGTGTGTGTGTGTGTGTGTGTGTGTGTGTGTGTGTTACAGACCTCCACTCAGTCAGCCCAGGATCTCCTGGCTTCAGAAACATCTGGAGTCCTTTTCTGGTGGAACCCTTGCCCAACCCCCAGCTGGACAACCCTCTTTGTTGGTGTGGCCCCCTTCCTCAGAGGCTTGGCATTGGGAATTATCAGCCCCTGGAGAAGGCGAGTGAAGTGGGCACCTTTAGAGGGTCTTTGATCCAGAAACATTCAGAAAGACTGTGATGGTTCTCTATGTGTGTATGGCACGTACACACATCACACGCTGACACATGTGTGCACATGAGCCAGTGGGCTTGGGTCTGCAGCTCTCAAACTTCTTCCACATTGACGATGGCCCATCCACAGTCCGGTGAGGGGGTCAGTGAAAGGACTGATACCCATTTTACAGACTAGGAAGCTGAGGATGAGAAAGAGTCGTGCCTTGCTCAAAGGCAAATAAAGGCGGTAGAGCTGAGATTCAAAACCACCATCCCTACATCCTAGCCTCCAATCCTTCTATGTTTCACCGCAGCTGGAGCTTTGAGCCCCCAAGGCGGCTCAGACCAGCGGGGCTTGGATTCACGCCCCGCTACCCACCCCACGGGGTCGCGCCAAAGCCACGCCTCCCCTTGAACCGTCGTTGGGGAGAAGGGAGAAAGCGGCCACAGCGTGTCTCTTTAATGCGCGCCCCAGAGGCCCAGCGCGCCCCCGCCACTATAACTGGAGTGCATGGAGAGGGCTGCGCTCAGAGGAAGGAGGGCGGGCGCTGGGCATCCGTTGACCGACTTTTTCAAGTGCGATCTGCGCCCGTCCGGCCCACGTCCCGCCCCCATGGACCTGCCCCAGGGCGCCTACAGCTGAGGACCCGACGCCCGCCGGGCTGCGGGCCGGGCTGCACCTCGCCGCCCCAAAGGGCACCCGCGTGCTGCACAGGCTCCCCGCGCCTCTTCCCGCGGCGCTCGCCGTCGGGCGAGGGCTCCGCCGCCGCCACGCCTCGCGCCCCGCGCCACCCGCCCCATGCTGGTGCACACTTACTCCGCCATGGTAAGTAGTCTCGGGGCGCGGGATCAGGGAACCTGAGCGCCCGGACCTGCCGAACTTCCACCTCCAAAGAAATCTCGGCAGGAGGGGGCCGCAGGGACTCCGCCAGCTGCGAACCATGCGGGTGCGCGCGGGACACCGCTGTCCTAGCTCGAGGCTCCCGCGCCCGCGGGCCCCTCCGAGCTAGACCTCAGGCCCCGCGACGCCCGGGCAGGAGGGCAGCCGGATCCCCGCGAGCTGAGGACGGTCCTCTCGGGCCGGGGTCGTTCAGCTGCCAGCGGGTCGCCTAACGCGCCCCTCTCCTTCCCCAGGAGCGCCCCGACGGGTTGGGCGCAGCGGCGGGCCCGGCCCGCCTGTCGTCTCTGCCCCAGGCGGCCTACGGGCCGGCGCCACCGCTCTGCCACACGCCAGCCGCCGCCGACTTCCAGCCGCCCTACTTCCCGCCGCCCTACCCGCAGCCGCCACTGCCCTACGGCCAGGCGCCCGACGCCGCTGCAGCCTTCCCCCACCTGGCCGGGGATCCGTACGGCGGCCTGGCGCCCCTGGCACAGCCGCAACCTCCACAGGCCGCCTGGGCTGCGCCCCGCGCCGCCGCCCGCGCCCACGACGAGCCACCCAGCCTGCTGGCGCCGCCCGCCCGCGCGCTGGGCCTAGACCCGCGCCGCGACTACGCCGCCGCGGTGCCCCGGCTCCTGCACGGCCTGGCCGACGGCGCGCACGGCCTGGCCGACGCGCCCCTCGGCCTCCCTGGGCTGGCGGCGCCGCCCGGCCTAGACGACCTGCAGGTGAGGCCCGAACCGGCCGCGGGGATTTAGGACTCTGGCTGGAGGCACGGTGACGAAGGCGGGCGTCCCACTCGTCTCTCACCCTGCCACCTCTCACTCATGACTCCGAGGAGGAGCCCCAAATCTGGGTTACATGCAGCCTGTCCATTCAGGCGGCCTGGCGCTGAGTCAGTGCGCGGTGCCTGGAGGGCGGCAACCCCTGGTGGAGTCAATGGACAGAGGCTCAAACACGTCCTTAGCTCTCCGCTCGGCCACGTGGGGCATCCATGGTCCAGACCCAGTCCGCTGGGGCAGCCTGCGTCTGAAGCGGAGAGAGGCGGAGGAGTTTTCTAAGGTTCAAAATTGTTATTTCGCAGGGCAGGGTGAGGTATCCAGGGCTCCAGCCACCAGGCAGTCCTGGCCCTGTCTGTGGCTGCCCCAAGGGTAGGTGGAGAGCACTGGGCAGAGCGGACAGGACCAGGACCAGTGACTGCAGGGACTTGGGAAGTGACAGGGGACTAGGTCCATAAGCCCCCTTACCACTGCCTCTCCTATTTTCAGGCCATGGATGAGACGGGAATGAGTCTTCTGGATCAGTCCGTGATCAAGAAAGGTAAGGAACAGCATGCATCAGCCAGGGCAGAACTGGGGGACATGGTGCGGGCTCCCCTCACACAGAACCATTTTCTTCCCTGTGGAGCTTGCCTCCTCTGTGTCGCTGTCTTCTAGCCATTAGAGGGGCAGCAGAGGCTGGGGTCCTAGCCAGAGCTTGGGCAGAGGGGAGGGTCGGTGGGTTGGCCCTAGGGTCTGCCATCTAGGGTGGGCTGAGCCCATCGGACTCATTCTGCAGCAGACCCTCTGTGTGGCTTGGCCTTTTCCTACCAAGGGGAGGGTGTTCTTGTAGATCTGGAAATAATTTGCAGAACGAGTTAAACTACTTTCCTGTTTCCTAAGAGGTGGGAAAGGGGGTGCAGTTCCCATGGGTTTCCTTAAATGATTTCCACATTACAGTGCCTTACCATTTCTTAACCAGGCAAGATTTCCTTCCCAGCAGGACCTTGGGGGTCAATTAATGGGGGGGGAGGCTCAAGGTTCCCCCAGGGAATTTTCTATCCTTGCAGGAGCCTCTTTCCACATTTAGGGTTGCGGGAGTTGGTGTGTGGATATCGTGTGTTACTCTGAGTATAGGAGGGCCAGGACCTGCCTGATCCTGGATGTCCTATGTGAGTTCAGGGTCCGTACATGTCTGGTATGTTCCTTTCCTAGGTGTCTTTCTGGTATTTCTTGGCATGTAAGTGTGTTTCTGATGCTGAATGTGCAATGCATGTCTACTATGTTGGTGTATATTTCTGAGTGTTTGGGAGTCTGTGTGAGTGTGTGCGTGTGTGTGTGTGCGTGTGTGTGTCAGGGTCTTTGTCGTGTCCTGGAATTTGTTCTCTGGTTCTGAGGATCTCTGAGTATGCAAGGATCAGTTCCTGTGTGTTTTGGGAGTGTGTTTGTGTCTCTGCACTAGTAGGAGCCAGGGTTTGAGACCTGCCTCCACTGGATTTTCCAGCTGGAGGACCAAATTCTGGACATGCCAAGAAAAGGTGAGAAAGAGAGAGATCGAGATGCAGAGACAGAGGGGTCCAGGCTTTGGGCGGGCTCCATAGATTTGGGGCCGGTGCCCCAGGAGGAACTTGGTGACACACACAAGCTTGTGGTGCCTGAGGCAGGCACAGCTCCTGCAGGATTTGGCTCCAGTCATTTTTCAAGAGTGAACTCAAGCCCAGGCACTGTTTGGACTCCACGTGTTCTCACAGCGTTCTCACGGGAGACTGGGACTGAGGCTGGGGTAGGGGGGCTGGGGGTTGGACTTCTAGGAGTGGGGCTGGGTTACCAGAGCCTGAGAGTTAGTCGGACAGCGTAGAATGTGTGGGGAGTAAGAAGAAGGGACAAGCTTCACTGAACTTAGGGGAGGAGAGCCTCCAGGTGTTGGGCTGTGTCACCTGGGGACGTGGATGTGGAGAGGAAGCCCAGAACTGGCTTCCTGGAGTAGTCACTGCTGCCTTGGCTTAGTGGACTTTTTGGACTCCGTGGGAAAGCAGAGCTCTGTCTGCGGGTGGCAAGAGCCTGCCCCTGGGCTGCGTCCACCAGGAGATAGGATCATAGTCCCCGCCCCCAGTTCCCGACTCCTGCCCAGGCTGGCGGGGCTGGGGCGTGTTGCGGATGGGCTAGGCTCACTGACTCCCTGGAGGAGGCCGGACTCCCGCATTCGGCGGTAGGAGCTTGGGAACCTCTGCCCTGGGGAAGAGTAAAGGATCAGCTGGGGCTCTGGGCACCTTAAATTCCAACCCCCAGGCCAGAGCCAGGACTGGGAACTGGCTGCGAGGAGGCGCTGAATTGCCCTGAGTTGGTTTCTCTCAAAGGACATCAGCTGTCATAAATTCTGGGTCCTAGGTGTGCGCCGGAATCCCCAACAGTGGTCCCAGGACCACAATGAGGGCAGTCGGGGGTGTCGCCAGTGCGGCCCGTGGGGCCCGGCGGGGCTGATGTGGACGCTGGCGCTGCGCTGGGCGTCCGGGGCGCGGGCGTGCACACCGGCCGTACCGCGGTGCCAGCCTGTCGGTGGCCGAGCGCCGCGAGATGGAGCGCGGGGACCTGGGCGCGCCACCCCGGGCGACGAGCCACAACCTGGAGCGCGGCGGCAAAGGGCCCGGGGTGCAAGCCCGAGGCTTCCTGCGGAGGGAAGCGCCTGGTTCGCTAGCCGCGAGCTCGGCCTTCCACCCGCGCGCCGCGCCTTCGGGAGGAGAGAGGGTCAGTACTGGCGCTTTCGAGCTTTGCAAACGCCGAGGCAGAGCTGGTCCCCGAAGGTCCTCGCCTAAGGGGCCGCATGGACGAGCGACGGCGCCGAGCCGCTGCAGCTAAGCAGGTGGGCCGGCCAGAACCCGGCGCGCAGCGGGCAGTTTTCGCCTGGGACTTCCGCCGTCACTGCGGGACTCGGTGTCGTGGATTAGCGTCCTTCTTCGGCCTCAGGCCCTTCCGATGACATCGAGAGCCCCTGTAACATCCTGAAGCCCTCTGGCGCCCGCCGGAGGTAGTGGGGGACCCAGCGGCCCCCGTGGACCCTGGAATGATAGGAAGTCATTTTGGGCTCGCTGAAGCATCCGATTCCTCCAGCAGCTCCAGGCCCTGGCGGGAGGGACAGCTGAGGTTGAGGCCGGGCAGTCGAGGCCCTGGGTGCGAAATTGCAGCCACCCCGGCCCTACTCCTGAAGCCGGCTTCCTATCGCAGATGTATCGCCCGAGAGGGAAGCTTGGGAGCTCTCGAGGGTCCAGACCTTGCTTGTAAAACTTTCCATACCCCAGACACTTACTTGTCCTGGGGAGAGGGGAAGCGAAGCCTCTGCTCCGCCATACACTTCCCTGTCGGCTGCCCCTTGCAGCCACGGTGTGGGGCCGGAGGCGGCAGATGGAGCCGAGGCAGACCCAAGGAGAGGCCGGGAACCCTCCATTTTCTGCCCACGTTTGTTACCTCCAGTTTCATAACCTGCCCTAGGGACACAGGAAGCGAGCGGGACTGGTGGGGGACACACACCTGAATGGGAATATTTTCTAGCCGAGAAATGTGGTGAGGGGGATCGGTACTGGTCGTGTGAGAGCTCAGAGGAGGAGCGCTGAGTGCCTGAGGTTGGGGGCTTCCTACAGGAGAGGTTAGGACGGTCTCCGCAGGTGCTCCATGGGTGCTGGTTGAATAAATGAGTGATGGTTTTTGAGGTCTGAGCGCATCGGGAGAGAGGTTGTAGAAAGGGCGGAGCTATTTTCACCGCCCTAGGCACAGCATGTGCAAACACCTTCCACTGTGGAAAAGCCAGCGACCTTACAAAGGTTAAAATCTGCCGGGGTTTCAAGTTCTGCAGCCACAGCTGGAGGGAAAGGGTTCGGGGATGAGAACTGAGATCAATTACTCCTCCTCTCCGGGAGAGTGGGTGGTTGCCTAGTTGGGGGCGGGAACATCCCGTTTGCGGGCCCTGTGGTCCAATCTCAGGGTCTCCAGGGCAAGGGCTGAGGTAAATAGCCACCCTCTCCGCCGCTCAGCTTGGCTCTAGGGAAAGAAAGGGAGATGGGGAGGGTCTGGGCTTCCCAGTGAATCTGGGCAGGACCAGGCCTCCTGTGAGTGAGTGAAGTACTCACCTCTGAGACAAAGATTAGATAAATAATATATATATATATATATATATAAATATATAAAGTTAATTTTTTTTATTTATATAGATCTGTATGTATTTTTTTTTTTTTTTTTTTTAAGATTTATTTATTTACTTTAGAGAGGGAGAGAGAGAGAGCACATTCGTATAGCAGCGGGGAGGGGCAGGGGAAAGGGCGAAGATCCTCAAGCGGACTCCTGGCTGAGCACAGCACCCCTGCAGGGCGCAATCCCAGGACTCTGAAATCATGACCTGAGCTGAAATCAAGAGTCAGACACTTAACCAACTGAGCCACCCAGGCACCCCAGGTAAATAATGTATCTTTTTTTTTTTTAAGATTTTATTTATTTATTTGACAAACAGAGATTACAGGTAGGCAGAGAGGCAGGCAGAGAGAGAGGAGGAAGCAGGCTCCCCGCTGAGCAGAGAGCCCACTGTAGGGCTCTATCCCAGGACCCTGGGATCATGACCTGAGCCAAAGGCAGAGGCTTTAACCCACTGAGCCACGCAGGTGCCCCGTAAATAATGTATCTTAATGCAATACTTTAGTATAAGAAGTACTGCCAAAAATCCACAAGAAACAAAAATCAAGGTTTTACATAACGAGAGGATCTGACCCAGCGCTTCTACATTCCTGCCTTACTTGCCTCCCCAGAGACTGAAAACCCAGTGCCCACGCAGATAGGGTTTGGATGATAGCTGAGGGCCACATAGGACAGGACAGTGAAGGTTAGTTAGTGGGAAGGAAACTTCACCAGCAGGCCCCACTAAGGGCGACAGAGAGGCTCAAGTGGGCTGGGAAGGTCTGCCTTCCTCCAGCCGCTCCCCTCCCCCGCTCTGGGCCAGCGTACCCCAAGTGTGGGCTAAAAACACCACGTGCATCAGAATCCCTTGGAGGTGCTTATTTAGAAAATGCCAGATTTCGTGGGCACCACTCCACATCTACTGAATGAGAGTCCCTGGAAGTATGGCCCTGGAACTTGCATTTCTTAACAAATTTATTGAATTAAAATGTACAGACCTAAAAAAATCACCCATCTAAGAGTATGATTCAATGATTTTTAGTAATTTATAGAGTTGTGTAGTCATTACCACAATCAGTCTTTTTTTTTTTTTTTTTAAGATTTCATGTATTTATTTGACAGAAAGAGCACACAAGCAGGGAGAGCGGGAGACGGAGAAGCAGGCTCCCAGCTGAGCAGAGAGCCTGACATGGGGTTGATCCCAGGACCTTCCCAGGACGCTTAACAGACTGAGCCATTCAGGTGCCCCTACCACAATCAGTCTTAAGACATTTCCATCATCCCCTAAAATTCCTCCATTCCTATTTGTAGTTAATTCTCATTCCCACCCCAAGCCTTAGGCAACCACTGATCTGCTTTCTTTCTATATATTTGCATAATCTGGACATGTTATATCAACGGAAT